AAAAAATCACAATATACAAACTCTCTTTAGGCAAGGAAAAGGTGATGGGGTAGAGCTTTCTTTACAAGAGTGCAGTACTTGTAAAGATACAACAAGGAGGTTGGGCTGTTGTATCCTGGGGCGGCGTGACCATAAAAATCTGCTGCACCAGTGGCACGAAACGTCCTAAAGAGAGTGATTGATCCACGCCTCAGCTCAAGCTCCTCATACTTTCGGTGACATCTTTCTACTTTTTATTTTCATCTTTAATTAATTGCTTTTTGCTATTCTTTTGTCTATTTTCTTTTCTATTTATTTTTTACGAGGAACAACAATTTTAGGACGTTTCGATATGCAAAACAAAAATGGAAACATTTACCACCTTGTGTAAGCAGAATATTTTCTTGATTATCTGTGTGTCAAGCAGGTATGGGTTTCTGACACTCTTGCAATATTTGATGCTTTATCTATTTAGTGAATCATTATCCAATATTCTAATTGTATACTAGAAATGTTGGAAACTTGGAATGAATACTTATGGCTCCTTGAATTTTCTTCAATTAAATACACGGAGGTATTATCATTGTATAGCTTGCCTAGCTTGCCTAGATTGTAACCATTAGCATGAGTAACTCTTGTTTTGTATTTTACTAGTATCATCATGGAATAGCCGTTCTGTCAAATATTAATTTGGCACATTAAATTTGTGATTCCACTCAATTAGTAGTTTGATGATGACATACCAACCATTTGACATCCGTTCAATATTTCTATAATTATTATATAATTTACTTGGGTGTTTTGACATGGTTGTTCTGATGAATGACTCTATTTCTAACGGTTAAAAAAAATTAAAAAAAAAAGGAGGAAACTTTCCGTTCATGCAAGCATGTGGCATTACTATGTAGACATGATAGTCCTAATGACATTATGATTTACTGTTAAATGTTAGGAATGAATGTGGATTTCTTGGGCAAATGTATGTGTGATATTTGATAGCTTAATGTTATTAGCAGTTGGTATTAAATACGCTTTGAGAACCCAAGTGAATAGCTACTTGAGTTGGTTCATGTAATTATTTTGGTAAAAATGGACATGATATTTGGGTTGATATATTTTGGAAATGTAAGCTAATTTTTCTTTAAGCTTGCGTGACCAAGGACCCTTTTGTGGCGATGAAAAGTGAGATGAGCAAATATGCTCTTATAAAAATTTTGTGAGAAAAAGAGTTTCTTCATGAACTCAATTATTTGAGAAATGTGAAAAATCACATATTTGAGATGCCCTTAATGTGGGGGATTGTGATATCCCTATATATTATTATTGGTGATGAGACCAATGATGCCTAATTGAGATTTTGCATAGCATTCCTATTATACAATAAGGTGTAATGGTGCTTAAGAAAGTAAATGTGATATGCACTCCTATCATACAATAAGGTATAATGGTGCTTAACAAAATAAATGTGATATGCATTCCTATTATACAATTGTGGTATAATGGTGTATGATGAGAAAAAAAATAATAAGGCACTTGAGGAAAGGGGTATGTGATGGACATTCCTATTGTACAACAAGGTACAATGGTGTTTGAGTTAAAAATTCTGAAATACATGTTTTGACATGTATGGAAAGAAAAAAGGTGGTTCTCTAGCTCGATATAAAAAAATTGTGGTACCATGAATTGAGAATTTGAGAAATATGAATATGAATTTTATGAGCTAGCAAACAAGTGGGTTGATGTGAAAAAGTGAGAATAAGAATGAGTTAAATCTCTTCGTTACCCACTATACCACCAACTAGGCCTTTGGCAAAAACAAAAGTTGGAGGAAAATCTATGATCATAGTCCAAGGTCTAGTGCTCATTGAGGGGAATGGGATTCAAGCCCAATAATGTAGAACTTCCTATGAGGATACCCAACCCG